AGGCTGGGCCACTGTGCTTCCTCCTCCTCCCTTCCCCCTTGCTCATTGGTGGCTGCCCTGGAGAGTGCTGGCTCAGAGCTGTCTAAGGGGCTTGAGTCTTCTCCCCATGATGGGCCGGGAGCAAGCAAGTCATTCATCTGTAACATTCTGATAACCTCAGCGGGCTTGGTGATTAGAATGGTCACGTCAGCCCAGTTGCAGCACGGTCAGTGGTGTCGCTGAGCGAGGCCCTGGGGCCGGGGCTGTCAACCTGTCTGTCTCTGTGCTTCCATGCCCTGTGCGTGGCAGTCATTTCTCGCATCAGATGGACCCTCAGATGGCCTCAGGCTGTGGCACGGGAAGGGGTGCCGGGCACTCTCCCACATAGGGCCAGCAGCCCACCACTAGGGAAAGGCTCAGTGCAGGCTGGGATCTCTACATGGGGGGCCCAGCCCTTCCTCTCTTGGGCTGTGCTGGGGATGGAGCCTCTCCCCGTCCCTGAGAGGAGGACGGCCCGCTGCTCTCTGCTGCTCTCTGCTGCTTCTCGTGACCTGCACGCCTGCGGTGGACAGCCACTTCGGTAGCGCCGTTCTCACTGTAGGAGTTGGTGGCTTCAGTAGTGGTGGGAGGGGCCTGCTCTACAGATTCCCTTCCACCAAGCCACAGCCTGTGAGGAAGCCCCAGTGGACAGAACGACAGCCATGCTGCTTGGAAGGAGGAGGGAGGCAGGGAGACAGGAAGGCGATCTTAGACTTTCAGAGGATTGGGGACCTCTGTCCCTGCAAGAGGGATCGAGCCAGCCCCATGTCAGGAGTGCTGGGGTTGAGGAACTGCCCTCCCCACCCCAGATTATGAATTTCCTTTTCCTGGCAGCTTCTGTTGGCTCCTAATAGATGCAGAATCAGTAGTGGGTAAGTGAGTGAGTGAATGAATGAACAGAGGTATCGTGAAGAGCTGGGCGTCTACGCAGAGAGACATGGCGCTGACAGGGTTTCGACTGGGATCGTGTGGTCTGACCTGTGTTCCAGGGTCCTGGCACTTTGCAGGGCAAGGGTGGAGGGAGAACAGCCCTTGCCCTGCGATGAGGACGCTTCTCTGTGGCCCCAGGTTTTCTGGGCGCTGCAGCCCCCAGCCTTCTTCCCTTAAGGATGGGCAGGGAGAGCCTTCGGGGGCAGAGACAGTGCCGGGCACTGCCACGGACATGCACTCTCCCCAGGATGTCGGGCAGGCATCGTCACCCCATTGCGCAGATGAGGAAACGGAGCTCAGGGAAGGCAATGTGCCTGCCCTGGGCAGCTTTCTGCGGTGGGGCCGGGATGAGGCCTAGGTGCTCCCTCTGACCCTGCCCCTTCCTGCATCCCGGGGCCAGAGTCACGAGGCCTGGGCCCGAGGGACATGGAGCCTCAAGGGCTGCAGCTTTTCTCTCCATCTTGCTCGTCCTGCCCAGAGCCCATTGCTGTCTCTTTCTCTGTGGTGGCTATCGCTCTCTTGTCTCCATCTGCCTCCTCGTCTCTCGTCCCTCTGTCTGTGCGTGTTTCCCGTTGGTCTCTCAGATCCGCGTGGGTCTCTTTTCTCTCAAGGCCTTTCTCTGTCTGCGTGTTTCTTTCTGCCCACGTGTTCCCTGGAAAGGGAGCTAAGGAGGACCTGGCTTGTGGCCGCCTGGGCACACAGACCCCCAGTGCCAAGAACAGTGCCTGGCGCCCAGCGAGCACTCACAGACGGGGAAACAGGCCGGGGAGACGAGGCTGCATGGAGAGCTGTTCTTTCTCCACCTGGGAGGCAGGGCTCCCCTGCTCCCGTGTCCCCTCCAGCTGGGCTGCGCTGCCCGTCACGAGGCGGCTGGCGAGCACGCGCCCGGGCAGACAACCCACAGATCTCTGCCTTTGAGGCTGCTCATTCATCTCTGGCAACTGTCAAAATATTAAGCTAACCGGGACGTGATTGCTGCGAATTGCTCCAGAAAATAGCTGGGAGCTCTTAAGATTTTAAAAGAGATATTTTTAATGCTGCTGTTGTCTTTTGATGGTTTTATTAAATGATGGAGAAAGCGTAATTAGCATGTTTGCCTCATTTGCTTCATGGTGTTCATTAGGTCTAGAGGGCCACTCAGGTTTCCATGGAAACTGCCTGTCAGGCTGGCTCTAGCTGAGTCCGGCAGGAAATCTTTATTCCCAAAAGCAGGCTGTCAGATCCACTCTCGGTCAGAGTGGGTGAAAATGTTTTCCCGTATTATTTGCCTGTGGTTTCCAAGCCTGGCAGCCCTTGTCCTGGTGGAGCGGTTGTGGGGGTGGGGGACAGGCCTCTTTTTAATTGACCACCCCGGGGCCTGACTTGGAGCCTGGGGCTGTGTTTAGTGAGGAAGAGGGCACTTTGTCCCGGGAAGAAGGTTCCAGGTAACTAACTGGGAGGAAGTGAGCTCCTCTGGGGTTCAGGGAGGGGCCGGCCTGCTCCCCGGCCATTTACCACAGTGTCGCTGTTCTACTCTAGGTTGTGAATCTTCCATGTTGAAGAAGCCACTTTTTTTTTTTTTTTGAGACAGAGTCTCGCTTTGTTGCACAGGCTAGAGTGAGTGCCGTGGCGTCAGCCTGCCACGGCCTCACGTCTGGGTCAGTATCCCTGCACCTCAGCCTCCCGAGTAGCTGGGACTACAGGCATGCCCCCCCCGCACGCCGCTAATTTTATATAATATATTAGTGTGGCCAATTAATTTCTCTAATTTATAGTAAGACGGGGTCTTGCTCTTGCTCAGGCTGGTTCGAACTCCTGACCTCGAGCAATCTGCCCGCTCGCGCTCCCCAGAGTGCTAGGATTACAGGCTTGAGCCACCGCGCCCGGCCAAGAAGCCACTTTTCAAAGGCATCCTTGCACACATTTTCCTGAGATGACTGGGGCCTGGGGGGATGGCACCAAGTTGCTGTGTGACCCTGGATAAACCCCAACCTCTCTGGGCTCTAGGCTTCTCCTGAACCAGTGAGGGGTGTGGGCCAGTGAGCTTGGGGCTCGTTCAGCACCACCAGGCCACAGGCCTCTGGCTCTCAGCCTAGGCGGGCCTCCCTGCCAGTCTCCGCTTCGCTCTGTGGCTGGGTTCTATGCCTAAAGAAGCCCTTTTCTCAGTGCTTGGAAGCTTCTGGAGTGGAGCTTTGAGTTGGCCAGCAGCAAATCCAAGCATCTGGTGTGAAGGAAGCAAGTTCCTGGGTGGCAAGAACAGGGCTTTGAGGCGCTGGCTCCACTCTCTGCTCTGGCTGTGGTGGCCCTGGCTGTGTCCCCCCTCCCCGCCTGGGGCCTTCTGCCTGGGCCCAGCCTCTGCAGCCTCCTGACCTCTGCGGTGTGCATGTCTCTCTGGGCCTCCCCAGCTGGCTGGGGATCTTGACAGCGTTTGGACAGGGGGTTGGGCTCCTCTGGACACGATGCCTGTCTGAGCGCCAGGCTGTAGTTTCCTAAGCCGGGTGTTTCTGAGTCTGATGTTCAGTGTCCACTGTGACCCTTGGGTGGTGGCTCCAGCCAGTGGCAGGTGGGACTCGGGCTGAGCGCGGGCCCCTGACTGGTCGGCGCGCAGGGATCCGCCTGCCGCTAATCCGTCCTCCCGGAGTCTGCGAGGGCCAGCAAAGCTCTGACCGTTAATGACCCGGCTCCATTCCTGTCAGAACACCTGGAAGAAGGGGGTGTCTGGAGTCGCTGTCCTCCAGGGGAAGCAGTGTTGGGACGGCAGCAGCCCAGGACCACCCTGGCTTACACCAGGTGGCCAATGTCTTTCCAGCAGCCCCCGGAAACGGAGAGCTGTCCAGAGTGGGCAGCCTCTCTCTGCAGGATCGGGGGTCTCTAGTTCTGTTTGTCCACACTCAGGTGATGGCGGTGACCTAGGCCAGGAGGCTGAAAAAGGCCTTGGGGGTCGGGGCCAGAGGAGGCAGCACAGGGTGAGGCGACGTTTCAGCTGTTGAGACACCTAGCCCCTGGCCAGCCGCCCCGTCCCCAGGGCATCACTCACGTGGTTTTCTTCTCTTAAGGTACCAAAAAGCTGACCAATAAGGCTACCCTGTGGTATGTGCCCCTATCGCTGAAGAATGTGGACAAGGTTCTGGAGGTGCCTCCTGTTGTGGTAAGGTGACCCCTTTCACTCCTTTCTCGGGGCACACAGCGTAGGCCAGGTCACCTTGCCTGGGGCTCAGCGAGCTAAGGCCGGGAGCCCTCCTGGCTGGGAGGAGACACGTCTGCTGGGACCGTACAGTGTGTGTTTCACTCATGCTGTGAATGCGAGCCTAAGCGGGCCCAGAACCCGTGGACGTCCTCCACGCTGGGGGACTTTCTTATTGCACTCACTGAGCAAAGTCGGGTGACAGGACCGGAACAGATGACATGTCCTGGGCCGGCTGTTCCCCCGAGGCCCCTGCAAGCTGGTGTTACCTCGGCTCCTGGCACAGTAGTCTGAGGATATCTCTCCTGTGAGTCTTTGCTCCTCCTCCCTCCTCATCCCTGCTGGCATCCCCCGTCCCCCTGGATTTCTCTGTTTCTGGCGCTGCTGCTGCTGGCGGCCCCTCTGCAGCACACGTAGGCGCTGGTTGTGTTCACTCGTGGTGTCGCGCTGCAGGCGGATTCTGGCGGGTGGGCCTGTGGAAGCCTTGCGTGCAGACTCTTGGGGGACAGACGCTGGGGACAGAGGGATTTAGTTAACTCCCTAAAAGTGCTCCCTCACCTCCTCTTGCCCTGCTGAGTCCACTAGAGATTTTGAGGACAGGTGTGAGCGGCTCCTCCCGAGGTTTAACCACTTCCCGCCTCCCCTCCCGGGAGAGGCACTAGCTGGGGAAGCAGGTTCTAGGCCTCAGCAGTCTTGGCCTCAGCAGGGAGCTCTTTCCTGTGCCGAGATATGTGCAGGGCGTGCACGTTTTAGAAGGGAAAAGCTGAGAGCCAGATTGTCAGGAGCTGGTATCTGCGCTTTTGCTCACAGACCTGACAGAGAAACTGGACAGGCAGGTCTTTCTCCTCTAGGGCCGTGGAGCAGCTTTCAGTGGCTCCAGGGTGCCAGGGCTGGTGGGGGCTCACTCCTGCCACACTGCATATGTGAGACTGTGGGGCACTTCCCGAGACTGGCTTCCTGTTTTACCTTCCTGTCCCCAGCTCTATGTCTAACTGGGCACCTTACCAAGGCCCCCCAGGAAAGGTGTTTCCCTGGGTGGGGGTGGCTAGCCATCAGGTCCAGCAGCTGTTTGGTCTAGACTTTATTTAAAAAATCTTGATGACAGGGGAGCCCTCTCCATATTTAACAGGCAGGATGGGCAGGGTGGTGGCTGCATCCTTTGGTTTCGAGAGAGCGGGGTGGTAGCACCCTGCTAGCCCCTGGTTGGCATCAGTAGAATTGCCACCCCTTGCGAGAGGAGCAGGTGGGAGGTCAGGGCTGGGGTGGGAGCCTGACAGCCCCACGCCTCCTGCCTGAATCAGTGTCCTGGGGCTGCTGTGACAGCTGCCACAGACTAGGTGGCTTTCAAACAAAAGCTGATTCTTTCACAGCTCTGGAGGCCAGAAGTCCAAAATCAAGATGTGGACAGGACTGCACCCTCCGAAGACCCTGGGGGAGGATCCCTCTGGGCCTCTTCTGGTGTCTGGTAGCTCCAGGTGTTGCTTGCACATGGCTGCATCGCTCTGCCTCTGTCTGTACGTGGCCTTTTTATAATGACACTGGTCATTGGGTTTAGGGCCCCTCCCACTCCCTGTGACCTCATTCTGACTAATTACATCTACAAAGACCCTGTGTTGATACTGTTCACATTTTGAGGTTCCAGGTGGACTTTCATTTTGAGTGAACACTGTTTAGCACAGTGTACTACCCGGCTCCCCCACTCTCTCACCCTCTCTCCCTTTCTCTGTTTTTCACTCGTTTTGCCTGGGACTGCTCTCCACACTTGGCTGAGATGCACATGGGGTCATTTTGAAGCAGCGCTAACTGGGGGGCTTAAGACCCAAGAGGCAGGAGTAAGGCAGAGGCACAGTGGCTCTTCTTTAGAAATGGCAAGATGCCCACCTGGCTTTCACCTTTCCTCCAAGCCCTCGGTGTTAAATTAGCCACATCACATGTAAATACGCAAACATAATTATTTAACTGATTTTAATTTTCAGATGTTATAAAATTCTGAAATCTCCAGTGGGCTCTGTGTCTGGCTTCAGCATCGTGTGGCACATCTTAGGCGATGATACTGAGGGAAGGGTCCTGAACGGAACACAGTAGCCTCTGCTGCCTTTTCCCTCGTCACAGCCCATGTGCTGAGAGGGGGTCTTTGGCCAGTGGTGAGAGTTGGGTGACTTCAGAGCACCCTGGCTGCCGTTCCCTCGCCACGGTGACAGGGCCGCTCTCAGCATGGTCCCTCTGGCCCTGGTTCTCCTCGCCCAGTAATTAGTGCCCTCCCACATCGCTTTGTGTAGCAGGTTTGATGAGACGTAAATATCAACTTGGGCCTGGCAGAGGAGTGTGCCGAGGCCATTCTCTTGAACCAGGCAGGCAAAGCTGCAGCTGGGAGGGGCTGTGCCAGTCCCAGCTGCAGCTGTTGCTAAGCTTTATTTGCCTTTCTTCCCCCACACACGCTAGGCCCACAGAGCGTAACCCTTCCGTTGACTTGGACTACAGGTCCGCTGTTGTCACCGGCAGAGCCTCGGGCCTGCTTAGTGCAGCTCCTCCCTGGCTGCAGGGCGTCTGTGTCCGCGCTGGCAGCCTGCGCACAAGGCTTCCTTGTCCCGCCACAGCATCCTCCTGCCAGCCTCCTCACACAGCCGTCATTATTTAAGAAAACGTACATCTGTGTAGATACAGATATGTACACATGCATGCATATACACACATACAGAGACACCACACACATGCATGCATGTAGATATCTTGAGGACACACGTGCACACCCTCCAGCTCCTTGGACTTGAGCATCTCCCTGGAGGAAACACAGCTGGCGACTGCAGTGTCATTTAGTGCAGGACTTTGTCTCTTTGTTCCGTCTTCCTCCCCCGCCTGGCAGAGGGCGCAGGATTCCCAGTGAACAGGGAATCGCAGTGGCCCTGTGACGGGAAGGAGAGGTTATCACGGTAGCTGGAGGGACAGCCTCAGCCCTGGAGAGGATGGAGTGGCCGCTGCAGGATGGACGCTTTGGTTTTTGTCAGATGACTAAGTGTGTGCATGCTGAGAGGTTCACAGACAGAGCCTTAGAATTTGGGGCCAAGCTGTCTGCTGCTTCCAATCAGCTGGGTTTGATGAGCCCCCAGGGTGAGGGTTAGTGCCAGCCCATCATTAAAATGTTCCAGTGGTTTTGTTCCCAGATTGAAAGGCGGTGTTTGGTGAGGAGGCCGGGCTGCTCTGTCCTCGTGGCTCGTGTCCAGTGCTGGCCCCAGCCTCTCCCTGTGCACCCGCAGGGCCCGCACGGGTGTGCTGGACACCACGAGGAGTCATTAGGCTGGGGCTTGGCTTTTTTTTTAAGGAAAAAAAATCTCTTTCAAAGGCATTTCTTGAGGACACTGAAGTTCAGCCATCCATTTTCCTGGGCAGACGCAGCACACGCTCTCCTCTTAGCGTCATTACTTGGATGGCGGAACATTAGGACATGTTTTATTTATGGAGGAAAAGGTGGAGTTATACACAGCGACTTAAAACACTCCCCACAGTTTGTTTCTTTGAACAAACGCTTCAGCTCCCTCCTCAGCCTGTCTCGAGGCTGGCCTGAGGGCCAGAGCTGAGGGTGACTGCTCTGGGAGTGGCGTGCCACGCCCATGTGGTCTTGGAGCTGAGCCACCAGCAGGAGAATCGAGATGTTTGGAACTGGGTTTTGAAAGACGGTCTCAAACAGCCACCTGAGATGAGTCTGCTTGGGTCAGGGGGGCTCTGAGTTCTGGGGCTGCCCTGTAGGCTCAGCCGGAAACGCTGGATGAGGGGACGGAAGAGCGCGAGCTAACCACAGGTGTGGCCAACAGGAGGCCTGAGGGCTGGGCTGGGCTGGGGACAGGCGGGCAGGCTGAGGGCCCAGGAACCTGGTCTGGGCCTGGCACACAGGCCCGGGGCCCCCTCTGAGCAGTCCCATGGAGGGAGTATGCTGTGCCCGCTACTCTGGGCCCGGAGATGGGGCCACAGGCGGGCCATGAGTCGGGGGGCCATGAGTGAACCGCTGCTGTTATGTCAGAGAAGCCCAACACCCCTGTTGTACCCAGCACTCTGGGGCCTTGGGTTTTGTGCAGGGTTTTATATTCACATTTGTTTTTAACTTCCTGGGTCAAGACTCCTGTGATCCATTGGGAGAGCCTCGGGGGGGCTTTACCTTTGGCCACCTGTTCCTTGCAAATGTGCCAAGGGAATGTTTGGTTGGCTAAGGGTGAGCAGAGCAGACGGGCGGTGTCGGGACACATGGCTCCCACTTGCCCGGGGGCCCCTTGATGCTGTAGTTTTATGTCCAGGAACGAATCCTAGGGTGGAGCGGGGCAGCTGCAAATGGTTATAAGTGGCTGAAAGATTGTTGGTATGTTATGTTTTTAATAGTGAAAAGTTGGGAACACACTAAATGCCCATACATAATGGATCAGTTCCATAAATTTTTACATGAACAGTGAAACGATCAAACATTATTACCTTTAAACTCCGCACATAGCACCATAGCACTTTTCATATATTCATGGGCATGAAAGCAGTCTAGGCTGGATTGTTAGCAGACATCTGGCCCAGGTCATCTCTGGGGAACGGGGCTGGGTGGGGTTTCCACCTTCTCTGTGTTCTCACCGTGTTAAGTATATATCATCAGAAACAAAGGGTAGATAGTCCCAGCCACATAAAGCTAGGGGACACCAGGAGCCTGATGCCCTGGGCTGGGAGTCCACGTCCCGCCATGGCTGAACCCTGTCTGTGGTTCCCCTGCAGTATTCCCGGCAGGAACAGGAGGAGGAGGGCCGGAAGCGGTATGAAGCCCAGAAACTGGAGCGTATGGAGACCAAGTGGAGGAACGGGGACATCGTCCAGCCCGTCATGAACCCAGGTAAAAGCCGGGGTGCGGGGCACACATCGGACATGTAGAGGCGGTGGGGTCGCCCTCCTCGTGGTTCCCAGGTGTCAAGCACCCTCACCTGGAAGCAGGCTCATGGGCTCCACAGGAGGATGTCCCCTTGCCCTGCCCTGGCCCGGGCAAACCCCTCCCCATATCGCAGTCAACAGGCAGAAGGAAGGTGACCTGAGCGACTCAGAGCCCCAGGAGGGCTCTGCCACCCTCAGGCCCCACTGCCTGGGCAGGGGGACCTGTGCCTATTTACGGAGAATTTGTCTTTGTCGTGTCTTTCCCTTGAGTTTGCTCAGGAGCTTGTTTTTGATAGGCTTTCTAGCTCATCAAAAAGAAGAAAAAGACAAAACAGCGGTGGCTCTTTAGGTGTCATCTCTGTCTGGATCACCCTAGATGTTTGATGGGGGTGACTCTGCTCACCCCTTCCTGGGCCATCGGGCGCCGCCGTGGTGTGCACAGGTTTCCTGTAGAGTTGGTTCCTTCCATTTCCTGGTCCATTTGCCTTCAAGTCCCAGGTGTTCTGGCTTTAACAAAATGTTCATCCAAAATCTAAACAAATAGATTACAGGATGTTTTCTCCAAGAAAGGACTTTCAGGCCGGGTGAGGTGACTCATGCCTGTAATCCTAACACTTTGGGAGGCCGAGGGAGGAAGATTGCTTGAGGCCAGGGGTTCAAGACCAGCCTGCATAACATAATGAGACCCTATCTCTACAAAAAATAGAAAAATTAGCCAGGTGTGGTGTCCTGTGCTTGTAGTCCCAGCTACTGGGGAGGCTGAGGCAAAAGGATCACTTGAGCCCAGTAGACTGAGGTTGCAGTGAGCTATGATAATGCCATTGCATTCCAGCCCAGTCAACAGAGCAAGACCCTATCTCAAAAGAAAAAGAAAGGAGGTTGGGCGCGGTGGCTCACGCCTGTAATCCTAGCACTCTGGGGGAGGCCCAGGCGGGTGGATTGCTTGAGGTCAGGAGTTCAAAAGGACTTTCCACACAGAGAACTCCCAGGGTTCACATAAACAATTCAGGGCTGGGGGCTCTGGGGGTTGCATCTGTCCCCTCAGAACATGAAGAACCCACTGGGGTGGGGGTGGCCCGACCACCACAGGGTCTTCCCAGTAACGGCCATTCCCCCTCCTCTTGCATACACTACGATCACATTTAATAGTGTCAAGAAGACTCTGGAAGAACACACTATGTGCTTCTCTGCCTCGCTGTGAGGGTATGGGCTCCTTGTGCATGTGTGTTCCATGCTGGGTTCCATGGGCAACCGCCCCCAACCAAAACCCCGCCCGGGAAAGGAATGCCGCCCCCCAAGGCCCTGGGGGCCCCGGCCAAAAAGAAGGCCACGTTGAAGTCCCGAACTGGCCTTTTAATGGGTTTGGGTCCAACCCCCGCAAGGAACCAAAGAACCGCCCCGAAGAAACCCCTTTCCCCCTGGAAGGGCCCGCCGGCCCAAACCCCGCCCCGGGGTCTGCCTGCTCCTGGCCCTACCTGAGAGATGCCCCAGCTCCTGCTGACGCTGGCTCAGGATGTCGTTCTGGTCACCCACCTGCCTGGCTTCAGTCTGCATTGGACACCAACCCAGCAGGTGTGCAGATTGGAACAGGACTTCTGGGCTTGGCTGCTGGCGTGCGGCGAGCGTTTGACTCCCAGGCAGAGTCTGTTTGAAGGTCGAGCACACGTTTGTGTGGCTGTGGGCTCCTTGTATATGCCTGTTCCCGACCCTTCCTGTGCTCCAGCCCCAACTGCCAGAAGCGGCACAGTTGTTACCTCAGGCCAGTGGGACTGCGTAGGTTGGTTTCTTTACTGTTGGTAAAACCTCTGGTCGGTTCTTTTTCTTTTCACATCTGCTTTTCAACAAACATCAAAAAGAAAGAAAGAGAAAAAATTAACCTGTCAGTACTAATAGAAAGAATGTTGCTTTGATGAACCCCCAGTGAAATGGCATCTTTTAAAAATAAAATGTAAATAGACAATGAGTTTGTCAGCACAGCAGCACACAGGACAGGCCCGGGGCCTCTGTGGTGACCCGAGAGTCAAGTCCCTGTCACGTGCAAGGCCTGGGCACATGCCACTGGTGGATAGTAACCATAGGCCCAGGCTCTGCTTCGAGGAGGGCAGCCCAGCGGGCAGGTCAGACAGAGGCATGGAGGCCTGTGATGGGACGGGGGGAGCGGAGGTGTCTAGGAAAGGTGCCAACACAGCCCCCAGGTCTTCCCAGGGAGAGAAACTGGAGGGGGCCGGGTGAGGCCTCTATAACCAGGGTGGGCTCATCTGGGACCGGCCTGGTCTCCTGTGGGGAGTTGGGCTTGGCAAGTGCCATGTCAAGGGGGCAGCAGCTCTGGAAGAAGGGTGTGCACGCACACTTGGCATCGGGGTCTTTCCAACGTGTGGGACCCTCTCTCCCAGCCTGTAGGCCCCAACTCTGCCCCCCTAACCTAGAGTCAGATTCCAGACTGTCGCCTAGCAACCTCCACAGGGGCAGCGTCCTCTCTGGTATCTTCTCAGAGAGTCTGAGCATCCTTTAAATACCAGTTGTCCGATATATATAGCTGTAATTTCTCAGTATATATTATTAAAAAATCCAGCTGTCCTTACTGTTTTCTTCATCCAACAAGAGAAAATGCAGTTACCTTGAGCACCTCAGATTCCCGGCCGTCAGCTGTCCAGCCCTAGCTGCGTGGAGACTGGTCATAGGATCGTCCACTCCGGGCTGTGGGTTTATGACAGAATCAGCCCTGCCTCAGACGAGTTCAAGTGCCTGCCTCATCCCTGGCCCTTGGGTTGAAAACAGTGTTTACTTCCATGTCTGGTCCACCCCTGCCAGTACAGTGGGGGTCTTGGCAGGTCACCCAGCCCCTGGTTCCTGGGTTGGGATCCGCCTTCCTGGGGTCAGGCAGGCTGTGGCCAAACCCAGGCAGCTCCGCTGAGCCACTCTCGAGAGTGCGGAGGCTGGAGAGCCTGGGCTGAAGCCACTTCCTCCCAACGTCACCAGCCATCTGGCCAGGCGCATATTCTAGTTTCCACGTGCACTTGTTCACAGGATGGGGAGCGCGGCATGGAGGGGCAGGAGAGGATGAGGGCGAGAAGGGTGGCTCTGGAGTGGCGCACTGCCTGGGTTTGAATCCCAGCTCTGCTGCCCCATGGAGACGTAAACTCCCATGGAGACGTAAACTCCCTGGGCCTTGGTGTTTTTCTACAAGAAACAGGTGATCGAACCACCGGAATAGGGCTGTTGAGGTGATGTGTTGATAGAACGCACAGGAAGTGCTGGAAGTAGCTTCTGTCACATAGGACGGGGTCAGAGAGGAGAGTTTTGTGTTTGTTTATGGCCAGGTGAGTCTTGCCCATTGCTACCCTAGGATCCTAATTCCTCGGCTCATTTTGATTCTGCAGCTTCAAAGATTAGACATTGTATTAGTCAAGGTTATAGTAGCTGTTACAGCAAATAAACCCTGGAATCCTAGTGTGTAACTCAGTAGAGGTTCATTTCTTGCTTCGGTAAAGTCAAAATTGGGTTTTCCTAATCAGGGTTGGATCTCCTCCAAACCGCAGGGGTTCAGGGACCCTGGCCCCTTTGGTTTGGTCTTGTAGCTCCACCCTCTGTAATAGGTTCTGGAAGGGGACAGAGCAGGGAGGCTCAGATGTCTGAGGCTTTGGTGGACCAGGCCTGGAAACGGCACAGAGCTGTCCTGCTCATGTCCCATGGCAGGCAGGAGTGGTATTTCCATACCCTGCAGAGGAGGCTGGGAAACGTGGGCTTGCTGAGTGTGGAGGAGGGTGAGGACATAGGTTTGGAGATTAGTTAGTAAGTTGTCTCTGCCTGGTCCTGCCCTCTGGACACCAGATCCCTGTTTTGTTCTTCTTTGCATGAGTAGAACCTCACCCTCAGGGTGACCACCTGAAATCCACATCGCCCTCGGAGTGCAGGGTTGTGGGCAGTCTTCTCCACTGGGCTTACACGCGATTCCTCCTGGTCCTGCAACCGATGAACTAAAACGGCGAGGTGTCTGCACGTGCACTGTGCACACAGTGGTGGGAGAAGGAGCAGAACAAATGTGCTCATTTGGGAAAGGAAAGAATCAGACGTCCGTAGGAGCCCCGGTCCACACAGTGGTGAATCCCGCCAGAGTCTGAGCTGTGGCCATGGGGGACAGTCCTTGATCAGACCCTGATTCCGTTCTGGGGGAGGAACTCCATGGCCTCTGGCTCTGCCGTCTGGAAGGTTCTTCCTTGTTCATCTGAAGGGCGCGTTGGGGAGCGGGGCTCACGGCCCACTTCCTGCTCATCCAGGGCTGGGGATCCAGAGTTCCTTTAAGGCGTAAATAGTCAACAGCTTTCTTGGTCCTGGAGAATTCCGTCCCCTTATTAACTGAGTAGGTGTCCAGGCTCTTTGCTTCCAGCAGTTCTATGTGACAGTGGCCACACCCAGTGTCCTTTCGACACATAATCCTCAGGCCTGTTGTATCTCGTTATTTTCTCACTCCATTCTTTCTCTCTCACTCTCTCAAGACACACAAGCGTAGGAAGACCACACTTCAGTCTGATTTTTGATATAAGGCTGAGTCTTAGTGGCTTTCGATTTCAAAGTCTCTCTCAGTTCTTGGCTCAAGAAACAATGGGCCTTTCTCATCTTTCAGTGCACCGCATTTCTGGACTCTTCACTTTCATCTCCGCTTACACACCAGCCACTTCTCTCTTGACCTGCCTCGCTGGGAGCAAGAGGATGAAAGCTGGCGCTGCAGCTCCTGACGCCGTGGCCGCTTCCCTCAGCCCTGCGGTGCGGCAGGCGTACGCCTCGGCTGCCCGCATGTCCCACCTTTTACACCAGGATGATCATAAACAATGTCCCTTTTCATTTGGGCAGCACCCCACTTCTTTTGTGTGTGTGTGTGTTTTTTTTTTTTTTTGAGACAGAATCTTGATTTGTTGCCCAGGCTAGAGTGAGTGCCGTGGCGTCAGCCTAGCTCACAGCAACCTCACACTCCTGGGCTCAAGCTATCCTCCTGCCTCAGCCTCCCGAGTAGCTGGGACTACAGGTGTGTTCCACCATGCCCGGCTAATTTTTTCTGTATATATTTGTTGGCCAATTAATTTCTTTGTATTTATAGTAGAGATGGGGTCTCACTCTTGCACAGGCTGGTTTCGAACTCCTAACCTTGAGCAATGCGCCCGCCTTGGCCTCCCAGAGTGCTAGGATTACAGGCGTGAGCCACAGCGCCCAGCCAGTACCCCACTTCTGATACCAGTTTATGTGTTTGTTGAGGCAGCGCTGGCAGGATAAGAGATGGCACCCTAAATCTCTGTGATGTGAAACTGAACCTAGCAGGGCCATTTCACATGTGGCCCAGTTCACCTGAGAAACGGAGAGCACAGCAGAGGCCATTGGGGAGGAGCGAGGGTGGTGCTCCTTTCTCCTCGGTAAGTGCCTGTGCCGGGGGGCTGTGAACCAGACATGGCCCCTGCCCTGAAGAGCCCTCCTGGAGTTCCGGGTTATGGCCAAGGGTAGGTTCTTTGTTGTGGGGATTTTGGTGGCTTCTGCTTATTAAAAACCCCTCAATCCAAGTTCTGAGAACATTAAGTTATGACACACGGCTCAACTGCTATTTCTAAAGAGTACTACAGAACAGCGGGGCTTCTTTGTGGCTAAGGAGCTGTAGTTATTTCCAATTGTTTGTCATTTGAACAAGTAGATATTTGATGTGACAAAGATTTTTGTATGTAATTTTCAATTGTTTGAAATTAATGAAAAAATCTTTCCTCATTGTTCACATGGATGTCTCTTAGTTGGTCAGAGCAGTTCCTGAGATTGGGCCAAATCTGAGGATTTTGGTTTCCATTCATGCTCTAAAGTAGTTATTTTCACGTCTTCCATGAGTGGAACGTGAAGCCAGCGGATGCAGCGTGGAGTAGTGTGGAGCGTGGGGGAGGCGGGCCCTTAGTTTTGGGGATGCTGGGCTGGCCGCGCCAGCTGGGGCATGTCTCTGGTGGTCGTGGTGGCAGAGGGAGCCAGCCAGCATCCTTCGTGGCTCCCTGGCTGTGGCCTCCCCAGCAGGACCCTGGGTGTCTGGGCCCCGAGGCAGACTGGGTGCAGCCGTGGATGGGTGGTGCCGTCCTACCCAGCAGGGACTGTTAACTGTACCTCTTGACACAGCAAGGAATTCAAGGAGTCATGTGTTGCTTAGCGACAGGGATGTGTTCTGAGAAATGTCGCCAGACAAATTCATCGTTGTGCAATCATAGAGTGCATTTGCACAAACCTAGGTGGTACAGCCTACCGCACACCTGGGTATGTGGTACAGCCGTTGCTTCCAGGCTACAAATGTGTACAGCAGGTTACTGTACTGAAACAGGCAGTTGTGACACAATGGTGAGTATTTGTGTATCTAAACATAGATACACAAGGTTTAAGGCTCTAGCTCACCTGAATTCTGATTTCATGCTCCATGACAACGCCAGGTGACTAAATACACAGTTTGGAAGTCCACGTGGAATATATTTGTGTGCAGGGGCTGCCAGAACAAGGTGCCACAGGCCGGGCAGCTTAAACAGCAGAAATCTGTCTCACAGTCCTGGCACTAGAAGTCTAAGATCAAGGTGTTCCAGGGCTGCTTGCTCCTGAGCCTGTTCTTCTTGGCTTGCAGAACTTCGTTTTCCTCCCTGTGTCCTGGCAAGGTGGTCCCTCTGTAGAGGCCTGTGTGCAGACCTCCTGTTTTCACAAGAACACCAGTCCTGTTGGATCAGGGCTACTCTAATGACCTCATTGTAACTTATTTCTTTAAAGACCCCATCTACACATAGTCACATTCTGAGGTTAGGGGTTAAGACGTCAACATACGAATTTGGGGGGATACAATTTAGCCCATGACCTGGAGGCACACACCAAGGTCTCATTGGTGACAGTTGACATCTAGGAGACCCCAGGTGTCAACTTCTGGATCAGGACCACCCTTCACCCCACCAGCATTTTTGCTGCTGAATAACATTACTTGTCCAAGGCCAGACTTAGAAAGTACCTGTCTTTATATCCCAGTGGAGGGTCACATGCAACCCTGGGACCTTGTGGCTTCGAGATGTTTAGTGCTATCCTTGGATGGGGCCTGGCAGGAGCGCCGATGTCCCTAGAGAGTAATGTTGTGACCTACTAACAGAATGGCTAATTAATCCTTGAAAGCCTCCCCCTTTACCAATTGTACCCCCATTTGAAGACCACAGTTTTTCTTAAAGAAATCATATGTAAGTTGACAGCAGTTGGATACCTTCGGTGACCCCGCAGACCTTAGGGCATTGTCTCATTGCTAGACCTTCAGATGTGGGACTTGATCTACCACACGACTGACTAATCCACCTCCTTTGCAATTCCAGAGCCGAACACCGTCAGCTACAGCCAGTCCAGTTTGATCCACCTGGTGGGGCCTTCGGACTGTACCCTGCATGGCTTCGTGCACGGAGGTAAGAAGTGAGCGATTGTGGCTGCCCCCTCCGTCCCTTAGCTCCTTGTTAGTCCCCCAGGAAGCCATGCTGCCGGCTGACCTAGTTTAGGTTCTGTGTTTAGTGAAGTATAAATTTAAACTTTTAAGAGATTGCATAATAAATTACTGAAATACCGTCGACTCTTGTTTTTCAAATTGGAAATGAAAGTCAATGGGTGACTGCATCCCAGTGGGGGGTCAAGGGCAACTCCATGACCTCATAGCCATGAGATGCTTAATGGCTGCCCGTGGGTCAGGGGTAGGGCCTGGGGGTGCTGACATCCCCAGAGAGTAGTTGTTTGTGACCCACCAACAAAGATTGGCTAATTAATAATGTTTTTACCCCTGGTATTTGCATTTATTTAGTCCCAATAAATGCAGGTCCCGCCTCAAACATTGCAGGCATTTAAGTTCCTAGCTCAGGCTTTCCCAGAGCTCAGGAAACATCACCGGATCACAAGAGGACTTCGCGCTAGGTTCAGATGGACATTTTTTACTTTAATAGTGGGTGATTTTGTGATTTAGGGCAAACATAAGTAGCTCATCATGCCTATAATTTCATGGATATTGTCATTTTGAAGGAGATTGAAGTAAACTTCAAAAAATAAGTTGATTTGAAGAAAAATATCAGGGAGAAAGTAGTGAAGTGGTATAGATGATAGCAGGAGCTGGTAAGGTGTCGTGTAGCTAACAAAGCTTGGGCACAGCTGTTCTGGGTGTGCTATTCATCATTTCCCGAGGCATGCAGGTCCTTTTGCACAGTGCTGTTCATTTGTACTGTCATTTCTAAATACCTGGAATCCTAAGTTCTTCTGCACTCAGAAAACTCCCATTCATCCTTCAAAACCCATTTCATTTTTTTTTTTTACCTTCCTAGCATAACCAGATCAAAACCCATTTCAAATGGTACCACCGTAGGCTTGGCTGCATTGGTATTTCTACCAGGGATGCCTCAGGAGCAGGGCATCCAGCACTCCACATAAAAAGAGGCACTTTGCAGATACTCATTCTGTGAGAGAGGCACAGATCATTTGAAGGACAATGGGCCCTAGGCCTGTCAGAATCACAGTGGATCCTGATTTGAGATATGTTTTTAAAGTTTGTTTCTTTTTTGTTTTTTTTTTTTTTGGAGACAGAATCTCACTTTGTTGCCCAGGCTAGAGTGAGTGCCGTGGCATCAGCCTAGTTCACAGCAACCTCACACTCCTGGGCTCAAGCGATCCTACTGCCTCAGCCTCCCGAGTAGCTGGGACTACAGGCATGCGTCACTATGCCTGGCTAATTTTTTCTATATATATTAATTGGCCAATTAATTTCTTTCTATTTATAGTAGAGATGGGGTGTCGCTCTTGCTCAGGCTGGTTTTAAACTTCTGACCTTGAGCAATCTGCCCACCTCAGCCTCCCAGAGTGCTAGGATTATAGGCGTGAGCCACCACGCCCGGCCTAAAGTTTGTTTCTTTTTTAAACTAATCCCCTTGGGTTTTTCTTTTTTCAGTTTCATTATTATTTTTCTCTTTCCACTAAATGCTCACTGCACTGCCCTTAAATCTGATTAACTTAGGTCCTACCCAGGGGAAGCTCTACTTTATAACAAGTGGTAGTTTCCAGGCCTCTGAATATTGTAACAATCTGAGGGTCTTTCTACCCTGAAACTAGCTGTGGCCTCACAAGTTTCCCATTTCTCCTTCCTCACCGGCCCTTTTCTCTTTCTAATTCCCTCAAAGTCCAGGGTGGGCAGCAGCCCCCTCTTCTGAGCCCAGGTTTCTGTAACTTCAAAGAATTGTCTTTGAGCCTCACATGTCTTAATTCTACCTGTTATTTGTGAAACTCTGTGCTACAGTTTTTGCGTATTTTGTCCGCATGTGCGTAGGTTTCCACCAAATGTGGCATTAGCACCATGGCTTTCTCCTTGATGAGGAGCCACGCTCACCAGCCAGTGTTGCTTTCATCACGTGCTGGGAGACCTCAGCAGGCTGCCAGGAGCGAGGGAGCTGTGGAAAACCCCTAGAAGTCTGCAGCGGGTTGCATTCATTCATGGGGTCTAAGCTGCTTCATGGGATACAGGCACCTGTTTAGTGTGCATTTAAGAAGTGTTTATGATGGCTTTACAATGCCTATTTCAGTAGGGGCTTTGTGCCCACGATTTATAAAAATATGTCTAATAATTTTACCAAACCTAACCGTCTCTTATGTTGCCAGCGACTCACCAGGAGTGAATGAATAAAGTAAACACCATGTTGAAAACACCCAGGAACTATGATTTTATTGTATTTTCCTACAGAGTACTGTTAACAAGAATGGCATCTAAAATCATCTGAATCAGAGTCTTCACTAAACTGTAATTCAGTAGATGCCAATTGCAAAAGAAAATAGTGAACTGAAATGGATGCCAATTCAGCCTTTATTCAGCAATTCTGTCACTGTGGGTGTCTTTAAAAAGCTGCACCCGAGTTTCATTTTCTGTGATTGCCACACATTGGCTGGCCTCATTCTTGGGACTTTAAACACATGTCTTGGTAACGACAGACTCGGGAAAGAGGTATTGCAGAAGGGAGAAGCCTTTCTGTCTGGGAATCCCAGGTGGAATCCAGTGGCTCTGGCCAGACCCCTGCTCATTCCTCCTTTCCCGGTGCTCGGAGAGCCTGCTGCCGGCTGTTGTTGAATAGTAGACAAGGCCGGTAGGTGAGCCAGCACGGGTCAAGGACAATTGTCCTCGAGGGCCAGGGAGGAGGGCCGGCTGTGTCTCTGCAGCTGTAAACTGAAGGATGTCGTGCAGAAGCGCCAGCCTGGCTGTTGGCTTCTGCCTTCCCTGAGTCCTGAGGGAATTGCTGCACGGCCCCCCTTCCTCCTCCTAAAAGTGCTGGGTGTCCCCAGAAAGGGCCAGTTTCCACCTGTTCTCCCCTCCCCTCCCCTGCCTGTTATTGGTTGTGCAGCCTGAAGGGGTACCTGGCAGGTATCTGGGGGAGGGGGTCCAGACCTTGCCAGGTGGCCAGTAGCCCTGCCCTGTTCAGGGCAGACCCCAGAGGAGTCTGGAGCATGCATTCTTCACTTTTCAACTTCCAGAGGCCTTGGCTTTTTCATTGGTACTTTATTTTTTATTTTTAGATTAATTATTTTAAACTAAGGTTTTATGTGGAAACAATCAATCCAAAATGGCTTTTGAAAAGCACAGCTATCTCTCATCCTCTCTTCACTCCTGCCTTGCGCTTCCAGCAACTTCAGCTGCTGCTCCTGGTACATGGCTCAGGCTTCCTAAATGTGAAGCTCTTGCTACTGTCCCTTGCTATGTAAGTTTTGGATGTGTGGCTATACAAATACCATTCCCGGCCGAGCCAGGTAGAGTACTACAATGACATTTCTTTGTAAGTTTGTTACTGCAGTTGCTAATTACTGCTTTGGTTTCCACCTGCTTTGAGTATCCGAGTAAGTCTCTCTACCGGGGGTGCTCCACTGGGTGTTTTGCTGCCGCTGCCTGTCCTGGCAGCCGACTCGTCCTGGATCCACAGTGCACATGTGTGGAATGTGCGCCACACTCTCCAACGGCCCTCTAACGGTCTGAGGGACAATGGTCTGAACTGGCCCCCTGTCTAAAAAGTTTGAGGACCCCTGCCTCCAGGAGCTTTGTAAAACGCTTCTCGGTACAGTTGTGCTGGCCAAATGATTGTTCAGTGCTGTTTTCCCTGGGGAGTTCCACCCGCAGTCTTCCTCTCCAGTCGCTCGCTCCCGTGCCTGCTCCAGATTGCTCTCCTGAGACTGCCTTTGCCTCTCGCCTGGGCTGACGTCCTGATTCACAGATCTTCAGTTTTCCTCCTTGCTGGTTTCTGTGAAACATGTCCACCAGTGGCTTCCCATGAGAGATAATATATTAACTAAAATGAAGCCTCAGCTGCTGTAACAAAGGCCCCAAACAGCGGTGGCTTCAACAAGAGAGACTTTTCCTAACGCGATGATGCGGCTGTGAGAGATCCAGGGCTGATGCGGCAGCTCGGTGACATTGGGCCCGGGCCCTTCTGCCCTGTTGTTCCACCGTCCCCGGGGTTGCCCTCTGCGTGCTGCGTGTTGGCGCGACTCTACGGCGGTGTTCTCGCAGACGGGGAGAGGAGGGCGAGAGAGAAACTGCACCCTTCACTGTGCTCCCGTCCCCACAGCGCCATGTCTGTGGGTGAGGCCAGCTAGGTGGATGTGTCTGTCGGACAAAGGAACTGCTGTGGGAACAGGGGAGCCGCTGTGGGAGGTGTTCTTGGTCGTGGGTGTAGAGTCATCTTTCTGAGCTTTGCACGTGTGAAAATGTCTCCTGGCTGAGTATGGCATTCTAGGGGGAATTCTCGTCCCCAAAGGGCTTGGAAGGTGTTGCTTGTGTCTTCCTCCTGCGGGGTTCCTGCAGGGAACTCCAGGCACTGTCAGTTTTCCCTCTGCCTGTCGGTGACCTGATGCCCACTCCTCACTCTGTCTAGCCCCTTGCCCTGTCCCCAGTCATCCAGCAGATGTCTCATTAACTTGCTCATCTGAATAGCAGATCGTGTGGTTTGCAGTTTCTGGGCATTTCTTCCTTGTAAAGTGACATCCTTCCCTCTGGACACCACTGGAGCTGTGTGCTCACGTTGAGAGCCACAGCTCTAGCTCGCTGGGCCCTACCCCAAGTGTTCAGCAGCTCTGGGTGGCGCCCGTCCAAGCTGCTGCTGGTTTGGAGACCACCAAGGATGGAGAAGCACTGCTCTGGGCAAGAGTCCCGACCATACCTGCTCACATCTCTCTGAATTGCTCAGCTCTGGGCCCACCCTTCACAGGCCGTCTCGGCAGATGGTCTCACCTCTCGCGTTACTAAGTTCAAGTCCCACCGTGGTCAAAGTCCTGAGCCTTCCCCTCTCATCTCGGGGTTCTTCCTGTGCCACCATCTCTACTTGGGAAGGACAGTCCTCCTTTGCATAGAGTTGGCCTTGGGGGCACCCGCCCCACTGCCAGCTCCTTCCCCAGACCC